TGGAACCACTTGTGAGGTAACCTTTCCTTTCCTTTAAAAAAAGAGTTATAGTAATCGGTTAACATGCTCCAAAGTTATGCGGTAGCATACATAAAAAAAAAAAATAAAATAATATTCCGATGAATTAATAACCTTCTCCCTTTTGAGAAGTCGGTTAAAAACAAATACAGCAGCAAGCTTTCAGCGCCAAATGATTTCAGGGTAAAATTGTCAAAGCTCCCAATAAACTTGAAGGAAATAATAAAATCATCAAAACATTTTCAGTCCGCACATTAAAGCTAAAGGAGCATAAAGTTTACATTGGCTGCGTTTCTTTATACATTCCGGATAATCCCATTTCACAGCCGGAATAAACAGAATGCGTTTGAAATATACGTTAACATATCATCAGGAACGTTCTAAAGAATAATTAAACAAAAAAGTTTATTCCAAACGTTCAGAATGAATAAAAAAATGCAGCCATTTTGTTTTATTGTTTTTGTAGACATTTGAAGAGTAGGGGTGCCGCGAAATTTCTTTACCACCACAAGGGCGTCTGGGTGAAAAAAGTTTGGGAACATCTGAGTTAGCGTACCACGCAATCCGCCGATGTACAGTATGCAGTGGTCAGAAAAATTTACATACATGTATTTAGGTATGTGAATGTCTAGCATAACATAAAGTAACAACAACATACATTCATTGTATTTGGCAATATTTGTGTGAAAAATGGCGTCAGCATAAAACACCAAAAAAGGGCTCGACGCATTAGGTTCATTCCTTATCTTTTTGGACTAAAATCTGAAAAGTGTCAAAATGCCAGAGCGTAAGCAAAATGCGCTCACTAAAAGAGAATAACAGGAAAAGTAAAGGAACGCAAAAAACCAAATTTTTAGTCCAAAGAATGGCAACAACAAAGCTAACGTCAAATAAAAATATTAAATGTATGTACAAAACACATTCACACAAGCACAAGCACAATAAACACTTACTATATCAATTATTTTTTGCCTCCTTCCAATTTCAATTCACTTTTTTTACTTTTTAGATTATTCTCACTTTTTGCATATTCTTTAATTTCCGTTAATTTAAATTTAGTTGAGTTTGACACTTTTCAGGATTTTGCCAGAAAAAATTCTTCTGACTAAATCTGACTACTTCGGACTGATGAGAGTCACTCTCACTGGGTGTTGCTCTCTCATTTAAGCTGTCATTTCCGAGCTAAGGAACGCTTTTTAGACTAAATCTGACTACTTCGGACTTTTTCTGACTATTTCTGGGAGATAAGGAACGCTCCTATTGCTATCGAAAACAGGAAATATCATGATAAAAACATTAGAAGGTAAAGTCATTCTCTCAATTCGTCGGCCATGATTTTTTCTGACGTTTGCAAACATTTTAAAATCATATAAAATTGAAAATAAAAAAATGAAATTGTACACAATTGTTGTTGTTTGAGATTAAAAATGAGAATGTGAGCTTGAGTTCGAATTTTAAAATTATATTGTAGGCAAACGTCAGACTGCCTCTCAAGGATTTTACCTTGCAATGTTTTTATCATGGTAGAACCAAGGCATATTCAACAAGGTAGAAGTGACAATTCAGTCGAGCTGTCTCATACCTGACTGTAATGTCAAAAAATGTAAACAAAGAAATCAACCCTTTGTTATGCATTTACCATATTTGATAGAACTAAACATCTTTGAAATGAAAGGTTTTGTAAATATGAAAATATTTAAAATCTCATTAGAATCAGCTTCATTTTATTTATTGAATTTTTGGTTTAATGTAAATGTGAAAATGCATATTTACACAAAATTACACACTAAATGAAACACACTCATTTATAAAATCGTTTTGACAATTTTCTTGCTTTTACTAGTCCAATGTTTTTGAACATTTATTTTTTTATTCAAATACTTAATTCTAAAGAATATTAAAAAAAGTTTGATTCTTCTAAATTTACATCAGAACTTAACTCCAATAATTTAGATATTAAATTTTTGCTATTCGAAATTTCCTTTCCATTAAATTTATTAAAAATTTCTTTCAGTTTCTTTATGTCAACAAGGAATACTGGTTTAGGTTTTATCAGACCACTATTTGAAATTTGGCCTATCCATGTACATATGTATATGAATGGGAGATTTTCTTCATATTCGGTATGATAAATCCTTCACCTGGGACCAAACGCGTCCACTTAGAAATACTCAGCTGCGATAGGCAACAAATAAAGTCACGACCACACGTGAAAGAGCCCCCTAATGAAACATCGCTGCAATTTGCCCACCGTTGTCGCTTCACTTGACAATTCGAAGGTTTAAAATAACGCACAGGTTTGTTGTCCAGGCTCTTGACAAACACAACGCACCGTTCGCAATTCCTTTTCATTTTATTATGTATTTAAAATCAGTCGCACAGCTCACAATTGAAAATTTATATAAAGAAAAAATTTTGAATAGTATAGGGTTAAGAGTTGACATTTCAGTCGCAGTTCAAAAGAGAGAAATGTCGAAACCGCTACTACCTTGTTATGCCTTGGGTAGAACGTAATAACAGAAACATTATAAAAGAAACATTGCACCTAGGAGAAAAATTGAACAACTCACATTTTAATATGAGAAATTCAGTTTGTATGGGTATGTGCCACGCCCCTTTTTTCAATAACTCCCATTTTTTCCATGAGTTTGGCTTTGCTATTATATATCTCTGTACTAAATTGCAGCACTCTACGATGAATACTTCCAGAGATATGTTGTGTGAAAACTTTAGTTTGTATGGGAGGTGCCACGCCCCCTTGATATAACGAAATTATTCTTCTTCTATTATCATCCTTTGAGGGTCTAAAGTCGATGTCCATAACTTCAAAAATATCGGTACAGCTGTTCTCGAGTTTTTCGATTAGAAAGTTCATGTTCATAGTCATGTCCAAGTTCGTGTTCATGTTCATCTTTGTGTTCATATTCATGTTCACGTTCATCTTTATGTTCATTTCATGTTATGTTTGTTCATGTTTATGTTCCTTTCATGTTATGTTTGTCCATGTTCATGTTCGCGTTCATGTCCATGTTTATTTTCATGTTCATATTGTTAGTCATGTTTATGTTCATGTTTATTTTCATTACATGTTCACGTTCATGTTTATGTTCATGTTCATTTCATGTTCCTGTTCACAGTCGTGTTCATGTTCGTATTCGTTTTCGTATTCTTGTTTGTGTTCATGTTCATTTCATGTTCATGTTAATGTTCGCGTTTATGTTCATGTTCGTGTTCATTTACTTTTGCACGTTCATGTTCATGTTCACGTTATGGGTATTTTTTGTGTTTATGTTCATGCTCATAGTCATGGTCGTCTGCATGTTCATAGTCTTGTTCATGTCCATGTTCATATTCATGTGCATGTTCACGGTCATGTTTATATTCATTACATGTTCATGTTTATGTGCATGTTCATGTTCATTTAAATGTTCGTATTGGTGTTCATGTTCAGGTTCGTGTTTATGTTCATGTTCTTTTCATGTTTTATGTTCATTTGCATGTTCATTTTCATGTTCAAGTTCATGTTCAAGCACATATTCATGTTCATATTCATGTTCGTTTCATGTTAATGTAGATTTTAATGTTCGTGTTGGTTTCTTGAATAAAAATTTATTTTAATGGACATTGCTAGAAATTCTAAAATATCCATGTCACCAATACAAAATAATCTCGACCTGCTTGAAAAAAACCAAAGATGTATTTTTAATTTAACATACCCAGATTTAAACAAGTAAGAAAGTCTAAGCTCGGGTGGAGCCGAACATTAAATACCCGGCGCAAGTATTAAATCTATGTTTTTTCACCTTTCCGAAACCTACCGCTAGATGGTAAGCCGGGGTGTATAAATTTTGAGTAAATTAGCGTCCTTAAATTTCGAAATATTGCAGTTTCAAGCATTTATGAAATTTACCGTTATATGAAAAGCGGCCGTAATTTTAGTCCGATTTCAATAATTTTTAACGTTTTACTTTTATGTGGCAAGCACAACAAAAATACCGAGTTTGCTACAAATTGGTAGAACGGTTACCGAGATACATATATGTGATCATAAGTTGGCGGTGCCACGCCCATTTTTCAAAAGTTTATCATAAACGTATTTCTTGGTAAAGAATTGTTGCAAGCATCAATTTTGAGTAAATTAGCTTTAATATTTATTGATTTATCGAAGATTTCGTATTTCTCCAAACTACCGTTATATGGGAGGTAGGCGTGGTTATTGTCCGATTTTAAAAATTTTCAGCCATTTGGTATGCTGTATAAAGACTAACAACTGTGCCAAGGTTGGAAGAAATTGGTGCAGCGGTTACCAAGGTATACACATGTATCCATAAGTGGGCGTGGCTACGCCCATTTTCCAAAAATGTATTATTTTCCGGCTAAAAATTATTGTAAATATCAATTTTGAGTGAATAACCTTCAGTAGTTACTAAAATATCGCAGTTTTCGTATTTCTGAAAATTACCGTTGTATGGGAGGTAGGCGTGGTTATGGTCCGATTTCGCCCATTTACCATCCGTCCTACGCCCGAAAGAAGTGCACATACCAAGTTTCGTTAAGATATCTCAAATTTTACTCGAGTTATCGTGTGCACAGACGGACGGACGGACGGACAGACAGTCACCGCTTAATCGATTTCTCTTTTCATTCTGATCATTTATGTATACATTTGTCTATATCTATCTCTATTCGTTTTGCCTGTTACAAACAACCGTTATGTGAACAAAGTTATAATACCCTTGTGCCCAAGTGCGCTCGGGTATAAAAAAATATATATAGCAGTATCTTTATTATTAAAATCTAATGGCCTTATTCATAAAAAATAAAATAGTTTTAAAGAGCTTTATAAAGTGACATTTTCATAAAAATTTTCGATTTATAAAGCAGTTAAAGTGTTATTTATTTTTTATGAATTTGGGTGTAAGAATAAATAATTACGATGTTTAAGAAAACTAAATTCTTTATGTTATCTATACCTTTTTCAGTTTTCGGTTGTCACCCGTTAAATGTGTATGCAACATTGATTGGCGAATCTAACCAGTCGCAACCCATTTGGAGTATTCAGCTAAAACAACATAAATGTGCAACGATGCACCTTCTCGACTGCAAGCCATCTGAAGCAGCGAATCAATCAAAGGCATTAAATGAGTCCGTTACATCATAGGCAGATGCCAACTAAGTCAATGATACCAACAAACAACATATGATCACTTTCCATTGCAAAAATTACAACATTACTGCGCAAAAGCTGAATTGAAAGAAATATTTAAATGCAATTCTAGTGAGAAGAAACCAACGCCAAAAGCATAAAGCTGCTGAAGTCACAATCACAGTCGAAAAAGTTTTACAAAAATTATTGCACAGCTGCATCGATTCGACGACGGTGCTGCCGTGCTTCTTGTATGAATGTGTGTATGTACGGATAAAACGGTCTTCGTTCAAGTCAAAAGCGAGTCAGAAAAATGTATCGCCCAAACTTCTATGAATCAACGTGCCTGCGATGCAACGAAATCGTCTATCAAGTCGATCGAGTGGGACCTCTCAAAGACTTCACATTCTTCCATTCCGGCTGCTTTAAATGTGTCCATTGCGGCACAAAGTTAACACTTAAAACGTATTTCAATAATCAGCACAAGCAGGACGACAAGGAGGTAAGTGGTGCTCAACATGAATAATCTACATATCTTAAATTTATTTCATTGACCTTTGTCCGAAATTACGCTTTTAGTTATTTAGTTGGTTAAATAAATATGTGAAGAGGATCGAGGGGCACTTAGACATTGGAGATCTTTCTGAACCCGATCATAAAGTCCGAATGCTAAGGGGTTCGACAGTGGATGAGATGAAGTGCATTAGTCTTTTCTGGACAACACCTGACAGTAACAGGCGACGTGCTCTGACGTCAACCCCAAGTCGACAATTCCGACTCTATGAACAAACCGATTCGTTGCATAAGAAAACAAAGAATATTCTCAATTATTAGATTGGCAGTGAATAACTTGATTGATTATATTTAAAAGGTTCCCAAACTTTTTTTCTCTTAGACCACTATATAAATTTTACGGCTTTCGGTGGACCACCTGCTGCTACATTTCTACCATATTCGGAAAACTAGCCAAAAAGTGTGTAGATTACATCTATTTTATAAAATCGCATCCTGGCTGATTTTCAAGCCTTAATTTGGAGGGGTAAAAATGAAAATAATATATTTTCTTGGGCTATATTTATTAAAATAATGTGATTAAAGACTTGATAGAATTAAAATTAAACATAAATAATGAAACGTAACTTTAACAGGGCAAATGAACAATTAAAAAAACTGTCGATATTTGGCTTTAGTTTTAATTCATTCATTTTTAAAACACAAAACTTGAAACAAGAAAACCACTTTTTATGTCAAACTTTTAATTCAGACGCTGATAATAGAGAAAGGAGCGAAACTAAAAAATCTATGAGGAACAACCTAGCTACCGACGCACCAAATTTAGAGCATAAGTAAAATGATTGCTCAATGAGCGTTCCCTGTTGCTTTAAAGAGTTAATCAACAATTAAAACTACTGAGCGATGAAAGCTACATACATATGTAGATGACCAAAACAGACAGAACGGT